AATCATATCAAAGATGGAGTATATCGAGATGAAATACTACATTTAAAAGATTATGTCGAATAAAATAAAAACATCTGCCCGAGATAAGGACAGTGCTGACAGATAACTTCCGTTCATTGCACGTAGCGAAGTCCCCCCCTTCCTTTGATAACATTTAATGGGAGATAAAAAGGTATGCCTTTATCCATTTTTTGCACAATTCACTTTTTGTTTGATGACATAGAAACATACTTTTGCTTTGTAGATCCTTTGACAGCTCCAGTCGAAATTCTTTTGACATAATCGAAAGTTCAAGCTTACTTTTATAAATTGCTCTAACATCTTCAAAAAATAATAAGCCAGATCCAATTCGAAGATTAAGGAACAACAATCTGCAACATTAACTGAATAGATAATTAGATTTTTAGCTTATACCGTCCGTTATACATTAAACGCATGCGTAAACGCATATGCACATGCGCAGAAAGTTTGTAGCTTTGAGGACTGGATTATAGATCATTCCGGATTATGGATGTCCGGATTAAAGACTTTTGACTGTAATATAATTTTCCTTTTACTATATAATTATGACTATTACTTTATATGGTTTTGTATTCCTCTAGCTTAATCAATCATGTTTTACCTCTGTGGTTATATATTTCTATAACTAGAACATAGTGTTGAAAATTTGCTTTACATGCACTTTTGATTTGTTTGATTGGTTTTGATTTGGGAAGGTGGAATTCATTCTCATAAACAAAAAACCAACATTTTTTCTGCAAATTCTATCAAAACAAAGTTTATCTTTTCACATCATTCTCAGAAGCAGATAGGATGCAAATACTTTACATGCATGTAGAAGAGGTAATAACGAGCTTGGGATATTAATTGATGTTATGTCTGGGAGAAGAAGGAAAGTAATTTTTATATTTCATATGAATTCTTCATATATTGTAATTTTAATTAGTCAGGTTTTATTATTACAATTTATGTGCTTATATATATATGTATAAAACATCTTTCAGGAATGTTGATTGTTGGCTTTCTTTTCCGAAATGTGACATTTATTCCTTACTATAAAGATATTTCGATAAAATGGGCTTCAGTATTAAGGTATTTTATTTTGTGTTTAACGTTTGCTTATTATGTAACTTTAAATTTTGCCTTTGTAGTAATCTCTTTTGTCTATTTAAAGTTTTCATCTATAAAGTTATAATAGTTTCAATTTTTCTTTTAACTAATTGTTGTCACCTAAGTATTGACTTTTCTTCTTTTTTTCAGAGGTTCTGCTCTAGTAGTTATTTTGTTGAAAGCTGGATTAGGACTTGATGCTGTAAAGTTAAGAAAATTAAAGTTAGTTGTCTTTCAGCTTTCTTTTGCTCCATGTTTAGTAGAGACAGCAATAACAGGAATATCTTCTCATTACTTGCTTCAGCTACCATGGCCATGGGCAATAATGTTAGGGTAAGATAATCTATGCCAGTGGTCCTATATTCAAATTGCATGCAGGGCGAATGCACTACCTGAAAGCAGCTGATGCCCCCCCCCCCCAATTTTTTTTTCTTCCAAAGGGAAAGTTTTTTTTTAAATCAACAAAACAATTTCCTAAACTAAATTAAAATTTTTTTTTCCAAAGTGAAAAGTTTTTTTTTTAAATCAACAAAACAATTTCTTAAACTAAATTTTAAATTTATTTTCCTAAGTATTTATTAAAATATACACAAGAAGTAATAATAATGATGTAAATAAGAAAATTTCAGTTTATATTTATTTTCTTTCTGAAATCAAATTTCTGAAATCGAATCGAGGTTGATGGCATTTCAAGAAATTTCTGATATTTATGCTTTGTAATTCAAACATGTATAACTATTAAATTTTCAGACTGACATTTATTTTAAATAACTGTAACGTGTTGAATAAAGTACTAAATAATTTATTTAACTAGACATAAAGAAATTACGAATGTTGCATGTATGAGACAAAATTTGAAAATAAATAAGATAACCTATTCTCTTTATTTTTTCATTAAATTTTTCTTTGATTCATACAGAAAAAATACATATATTTGTCTGTAAACAATTATAAACTCCATTATTTCTTACTACAATCATCATGTTTCAGTTTTGATAATGCTTGTAACTTTGGGGAAAAATCACTAGAAAGCATCTTCTTCACAAATCATACATGCTTATCGGTCAGTCTAGTTGTTTTATTAGACTTCATAATTTTTAAATGTGGAAAAATGCTGTTCACATATAAATGTGCTACCGAACAAAGCAATTATTCTTATTGTGAAAATATGCAAGGGAGGGTAATTATCTTTTCACAAATACAAATAAAAGCTAATCAAATTTGTATTGTCAAATCTTTAAATAAGCTTTATATTGCAGTGTTGGTTAATTAGATCTATTTGTAGATTTTCTGTGGCATTACTCACATTTGTTTTCAACGGTAACAGAAATAATATAAAATTTGACTTCAAATTATTAAAATCATAAACCTTTTTCCAAATTCTGGTCATAATAGCTAATGTCATAACAATGCAAATTAAAATATTGGAAATGTATTTGCAGGCCATTTAAAATTGTTTGGGGGCCACATGCGACCCACAGTCTGCCAGATTGAGACCACTGACCTTATGCTATTTACATTTTTCTTTTCTTACAGTAAATTTTCTTAGTGTTTTACTATTTAAAAATGTAGCTGCTTAATTATGTAAATTTTAAGCAATTTGTGTAAAAATGACATGCAGAAAGTATTACATGGTAAATATGACAAATTCTATTTTTAGGTCATTCTGTCTTAAATTCTATTTTTAGGTCATTCTGTCTTAAATTCTATTTTTAGGTCATTCTGTCTTGTGTTATATAAACCGTAATTTTAAAATAGTTTTTATTTTTGGCTTTTTAGCAGTTTTATTGTTTGTATTGAATCTTACTGTAATGAATATTAACTAGATTTCACTAACTAGCTTTTTATTATTAGGTTATGTTTTTAAGCTTGACTGTGCTGTATTGAAGTTTCAACAAATTAATAAGCTTATTTTTAAAAGCACTAAAACTGTTAAATAGCTTACTCATTTATGAAGTGTTTTCGCCAACATTCCTCAGTCATTCATAAACTTAAAAGCCCATTAATAAAATATATTGCATTTTTCTGATACATTTAAATATATATTATACACTCACATGCACCATGTCCACAAAGTCCTTACCTTTATTTTCACAATTGTTGGCTGTAAACACATATTTTCAATCACAAAAGTGTTTTAATAAATGCAAAGATTTTTGTATTTCTAAATTAAGAAAGTTAATTTTATATAAAATATGAACTCTAACTAAACAGTTTTATGCTCCTTTAATCCATATAAATGTATTTAAGAAACTTTTGTAGCTGTTATAAAAAATAAGACAGAAAAAATTTGACTTTGGCATGACAAAAATTAACTGAAATATTTAATTTCAAAATTTGCAATATTTAACATGTTTTTGAATTTGCATTGAGAGGCTGAATAATAAAAAAGTAAAAATATTTTGAGGTTGATTTTTTTTTGTCCTATTAAATACCATTCAGTGATAACCTTTTGGGATTTATTAATGGCTTTATTTATAATTTTGTTACATTTGGTATGCCAAAAGAATTTTTACATTAGTAATTTATAAGTTTTTCAAGTCTAGAAATACATTATTAATATTTTCATGAAATTTTGTTATTTTAGAATCATAATCTTTTGATTCTTAAAAATTCATTTTATGGACATGTTTTATATCTCTCTATATGTTTATATATGTATCAATCATTGATACTACATAGTTATGACTAAATATATACTTTATGATTATGATTTTAATGATTTATGATTTTAATGATATAACAAGTTGACAAAACTTAATTGGAATACCCATAATTTTCAAAGAATATGTCATTTTTGTATAGTATTTTATGAATATGAAATTTAAAAGAAAAACATATTTATATACAACTGGCCTATTTTTCACTTCATTTTGTAAAATCCCTATATTTCTTTGAGAATACTAATGTTCTGGGAAACAATGTATGAAGGAAAATATTAATGATGTTTAGAAATTTTATATAAAAAGTCTATAAACCATGAATATTATTTCAAGATTTTCTGAAGGATAAAATTATTGAGAAATAGTGATCTAAGCATTGTAATTATTTTGATTAGCTTTGCTTTACTTCTATTTGAATTTTTATGTCATTAAAAGTGTCAAAATGCGGGAAATTCTGCAGTTTTGAGTGATTCTGAGTCTAGCAATTTTCAGTCTGATTTAAGCAGTATTAATAAATTAATGAATTAAAATTTAATGCTTCATTTACATTGCATTTCTTAATAAGAATATTTTCTTAAATTATTTCACCTTTGAAGTAGAGACTTCAAGTTTATTCTCATTTTGTCTGCTTATTGAACTTATTTTCAATTTCTTTATGAGAGCATCTTTTATTTCCATCTGATTTTAGAAATACTTTGATGATTAATTTTTGTATTCAAAATAAAAACTTTCAAAACAACTGTAATTGTTATTTAATTAAGCTTACTTATTAAATTTTATTGAGCTTACTTATTAAAGCTTTTAAATTAATTTTCAGATTCATTATATCTGCTGTTTCTCCTGCAGTTGTAGTACCCAGTTTATTGACTCTACAGGAGAAAAAACTGGGTACTAATAAAGGAATTCCAACTTTAGTTATTGCTGCTGCTTCTATGGATGACATTATTGCTATAACTGGTTTCACTGTAATGCTCAGTATATCAGTATCTAAAGGTATATTTTTTTTGTGCTTTTTGTTTAGTGCATTTATTCTGTGCTTGAAGTTTCAGTATATAATTTTTGTGCTTCAGCTTTTTACTTTATGTTACATGAGTATTTGCAAAGGTTTCTAAACTGCATAAAGTTCTTGTCTTGTATTATTATTTGATTATGTAAGCTGACTTCATTATTTTGAACGGATTTTTTTTTCATTATTATGCATTTTGTTATTTAGACTTTTTGTATTATATTTCAGTTATTCACTTTTATGTTCTTTGTTGTAAAATTTTATTTTAGCAGATTTTTGTGTATGTTTTATGTACTTAGAGACGTTTTAAGTTTTATTACAAAAAAAAAAAAAAAAAAAAAAAAAAAAAAAAAAATTACAACACAGGGCAAACCAAGGGCTGACAAAGCTTGAACATGTGTATTTCAGAAATATTAAAATGTGAATTCAAGAAAATAACACTATTATACACTTTTTCTTATGAAGTATTTGCACTTTTAGAATCTTAAAATGGCAATATGACTGTAAAGTTTTCTGCCATGAACTTGGGGTTTAATTTTCATGACAATCAGGATTATATTTTGCTTTGTTTATTTATATGTAACAGAAACTAGTCTATATAAAAATTATAATGAATAAATTTCCTTATGAACAAGAAAAGCAGCATTTGCATTTAATTAAACTTCTTTTCAATGTAATTTTCTAAACGGTTATTTGAAATTTTAAATAGTAGCAGTTTCAGAAATGTACCAGTGGCATTTATTTTGTGAACATAACAGTTACATATTATTATTTCCAGTTATTTATTTTCTTCTAGGATTTGCATAATTAAATATATGTGTACAGTACTTTTTTTGTTAAAGGGGCCACTTAATTGGCAAAAATGGCAAACTTAATCACCTAATCTATAATGGGCAAATTTCAGATTTTTACATAGGCCAATGTAGTAGTCTCTTTAACAAGAAAATATCAATCTTAAACATAATATACAAAAGCACTATTTTATTATAAACTATAAAATGCTAAAGGCTAGTTAACTTTTTAGACTACACAGCTAATGAACAAAAAAGAAACATAACCATGTCAAGCAGTTGATTGTTCAGATTGCCAGTTCTTAATTAGAAATAGCAGAGCCAATAATTTTTTACTTTCTTGTACGAAGTAAAGGAAGTTTTGTAATCACAAAAAATTCCAGGTACCATATTTCAATGAAAATATCCATTTTGACCACTGTCGAATGCAATTTAACGATGTTTTTGTGTGACATATGTACATAAGAACAATATAAAGGATTCTTTTTCCCCAAAAGAATTGTAAAATTGATTTAAAATGGATTCAAAAGAGAATTTTTTCATGGCGATCTGTGCTGTACCTGGATATATCACGTACTCTCAAAAACGAGTAGCCTCATAATGTTGAATTTTGTTATGGACTGCTATGCATTAGTTGTGTACCTCTTTTTTTTGTGGCAACTTCCACCAAGTATATAATCTATTACCCATTCTTTTTGGTCTCATGAACTCAGTTTTTTTTAATTCTAATGTGTAATTGTCATTTTTGCTTAAAAAAATGATTAAATTAGGTTTTGTTTTGTCTCTGTGAATGTGTTTATGCCTTTCGTTACCTGCATGGTATGGTGGTAGATGATCAACAAAAAAAAGTTGTTTAAGTTCTCTAACCTAAATTTTCCTTCCTGCACAATTTTTGTTTTCCTTTGAAACTACATAATATTGGATTTGTTTGCCATCTAGAGAAACTAACTTTGCACCAAAATTATGTTTTTCTTTATATTGTGAATTAATCATGCTAATCCATTCTGGAATTATCATTTATGTTATAATTATCGCGTATATGACTCATTCCAACCAATTAGTCAGTCTATCCTTGATGTCTTTGTGCAGAGTGGACCAAAATAAACTTTCAGTTTTGGGCCCAAAATCTGTCCATTAATGCGCATCCGTAACATAAATCTCATGGCGAAAGCATACCAAAAAAAAAAAATTTGTGTCTTTGATGTAGGATATAGATCATTACAATACTGACGTCCGGATTACAGACTTTGTACTAGACTTTGTATTTGGTGTTTTATGTTTTTCTATAGATTTCATTTTTAATAGAGATATTTTTAGTTTTTATATATTTTTGCCTTTTTGTGAAGTGAGAATTGAATTAATTGAATGGGAAATATAACTGTAATGAAATAAGTTAAAATGAAATGCAGGAAAAAATGCATATAATTTAATATCCCATACAAGGAAGTTATGTGCTGTACACATCAGATTTTTTAATTATGATTTTTATATTTGTGGTATTCTACTTTTATACAGCAGTTTTTAGTTTAGTTTTCGCTTAGCGTAATTTATCGAAATGGCTTTTATAATGATGAACATTATTTAATTTTTATTCTTCAGTAAAAACTGAATTATCTGGCATTTATTTAAATGGAAAGCTCTAGTAACCAGAATATTTTCGAATTTTCATATCTTTTTTTTTTTTAGCATATGATTAAGCAAATTTGTAACTCTGCTGTAAGGCACTAATAGGACTACAATCCGAATCCACGAAAAACTGTCACAAAACAGTGCAGTTTAGTGCCAATAATGTTAAATTTTTGTAAAAAAAAATGATGTTAATTGATATTTATCTATTTTTCAATAACATTTTGAAAAACTGATTAAAATTTAGGACTTGTCTTTATTGAAACAGCATGCAGCAGAGTATTTTCAAAATTGTGGGATCCTGATACCAAAAACAGTGTGACGTATGTGAAAATGGATGAACTCTGGCTGTGCAATATGAAAAATTATATCAAGTGATTTAATTTTTTTATATGTTGTGTCTCTAACTCATATATATTGATTATCTAATTAAATAAAGAGCAATTCGTTCCTTCAAATTTCTGCTGGAATGACTGGCACAAGTTTGGCAAGATCTCGGCTATTTTATAAAATCAACGGAATTTTGTAATTGAATATGATGTTTTACTTCATTTATGTCTGAAATACCACTTTTGATTCAAAATTGTCTTTCTGGCTTTTATAATATGAACTGCATTTTCTACATTTTTTTTTTTTTTTTAATTATCCAAAATTTTAGCATATCTAGAATTTGGCATTTCCTCAGCTTACTGGGTAGTTGAACTTTTACTGTAGTGTGAAACAAATTAACTTGTGTTAAAAAAATGTTGCATGGAGATTATAATGCAATATTTTCAGCTTCTGAAATCCTATATAAATTCAGATAATTTAGTCATTTTAAGTATGAATGGTAAGAATAATTTGGAAATAATGAGAGTATATTCTAGAAGTGATATATTTTTCTCATATCAGACATAGCTGAAATGAGTACAGGTACTTAATCCTGCATAATATTTTAAAGATGGAAATATCTAACCTGCTGCACCTCAGTGCCTCTTTTTTTTTTTTTTTTTTTTTTTTGATTTTTTTTTGGCTAGTGATATCTGTGATCAGTTTTGCCATGCAGATATGTTCAGAAATGCCACAAATGTATTCTTGTGAATAATATAAATGAAAGGAGAGATAAAGGACACTGTAAATATATAATTTTTTTACATATATTTTTATTTAAATCTTATAAAACTGATTTAGCTTTATTTGAAGTCCCTTTCTTAAATTTAATTTATTTCATTCTGAAAGGTGGACAAATCAAAGATGATAAAAATGTACTGCCTTTGATTCCTTGTCTTGTAATTTCTCTTAAGGATCTATAATCAAACCCTTAACAGATAGCAATTTTTGACTGTGCTATTTACTTAAGTTCTGTGGATTATAAATTTGAAAAGCAATTATTTAATATTTCATTTTTAGTTGGAGAATTTCACAAAAGCAGTATTTCATTTTTAAGAAGTATTTCTTTTACTTTTGTAATTGTGTTCAAAGTAATAATTAATTCTTTATTTCCAATTCCCCCAAATTTTTTTTAATCAAGGAATCTTTATAAGGTAGTGAAAGTAACAATAGCCTAATTGCAAACAAAATTAGCCTGATGATTCTTATAGTAGCAATGAAAGGCCTCAGCTTGTTTATTCACATCTTTATATTTGAAACTGATAATGTTAGCAAGTACCAACTTGTCAAATTCATTAATGGTGTATTGGTGGCTAGTTTAATGTTGCAAAAGGGTTAACTTTATTTTTGAATTATATGTAAAGAATTTTCAAAATGCTAAATCTTACATGCTTTTGTATTTGCATGGATACATACTGAAATGAGATTTTAAGTTCAGATTATTGAATGAATATAGATATTGTCCATAGAAATGTATTTTGTGACGCTAATCTAACTGATTAATAACTTTGTGCAGTACATATTTTTTACAGTGTCATGTAATCATACAGTTTGAAGGAGTGACAGTTTATTATGTATGACAGTTAATTAACTGATATGACATTTACTATGTATATGTATCTGGAGTGCAAAGTTTTTGCCTTTTTTTATCAAAAATTCTATTCATCATGTATTAAGGAATCCATCATCATTCATCTTCTGTCATCATTTGTTATCCATTCTTTACTTATTGTAAAAGAATAGATTATGTCTTAAAGTATCATCCATTGCTAGCCACTACATTTTCCCATCTTTCTGGCAGCATACATATACCACGTCAGTAGAACACTTCCTACAAATCAACCCAATTTTTGGTATCATCATACGATGTGAAGCGCTGTTTAAATAGGCCATGCATCATAATTCGAAACAAGTAATAATCAAAAGGAGCAATATCTGGTGAATACAGCAGGAGGAGCAAACTTCTCACTTGAGAGCTTCTGAGTAGGTTTTGCCTGGTGCCACAACATGTGGATGGGCGTTATCATGAAGGAGAATAATTTTGTCATTCTGGAGTAGTAGTGGGTGCATTTTTCTCTGAGTGCTCATCTCATTGGTAGACAATCACAGAAATGGTTTTGTTCAGTTTGAACAACTCATAACACATGATACCAAGTCGATGCCACCACGTACACAAATTTTTTTCATTTATATACAGCTTGGCTGTTAATGTTGAAGCATGATCAGGTAGTCCCTTGATTTCATCTTCTTTGCAGTAATGTAGTGAACCCATTTTTGATCACCAGTGACTGTATGATGCAAAGAACAAAACCCTTTAATTTATGCCTGGCAAGCAGCATTTCATGTGTAAAACATCAGCATTCAATGTTTCTTGGCTTCATTTCATATGGAACTCAAATTCCTTGTTTTGAATCATTCCCAATGATTTTAAATGATGTGAAATTGCTTGTTGAGTCACTTCTAATGTAAGCTCTACTTGCATTTGGCATGAATCTTCATCCAATTCTGCGTCTTTCTACACTTTCATTCTGTTCTTTGTCTTCGACATCAAATTCACCTGTCTTGCACTTTTTGAAGCCACTCACAACTTATGTCACTTAAGGCAGCCTTACCATATCCTCCTACAAGCAACTGATGCACCTGAGCTGCAGATTTCTTCAAATTAAAGAAGTAAATCAAAAGTTTCCCCAAATGACACTCATTTGGCTCAAAACTCGACATTTTCATATGAAAAAAATATATTATGCTGATACAAAATCACTAATATTTCAAGATTGTGTTGTTAGCAGATATCCAGGCTTACAACATGACATTTTACATCAGCAATTTTAACCATAACTTACTGGTGGCCCCATTTGTTTTTTCAAACAGCAGAGACTTCTTTGTACTCCCAATATCAAAAAAATTTAAATACCTAGAAAAATCATCTGATAATCTTAGAATTTAACATACATATTTGTTAAAATTTGCATTTTATTGATTATGAAAAACTGAATTAAAAAAATTATTCTAGCATACATGACTGTAATATTGAAAAATTTGGATTGTCAGAGCTGTAATATTTCAGTTTTATATACTGCATACGTTCTAGTTTTCATTCTGTACTTTTGGGCTAAAAAATGAATATGTTATTATTGCACATAGCCAACAGATATCCTGAATGAAAACTATTAGCAATATACTAAAAATTATTCTTTCAGAAAGAGCAGTATTTGTCTTAATATCATTAAAATATGCATTTTTAAATATTTGTATTTAGTTTATAATTTTCATAAATTCACTTATTATTTAAAAATTTTTATATTGCAAATATGTTTTATGTAGTCTTAAAAATCTTTTTTGGGAAAAAGTAAATAAAATGAAAGTTTGAAAAGTATGGATAATACATGTTTTAAAACTAAAATATGTATAACAAGATGCATTTTATTGTTATATTTCCATGTCTTACTTTTAATCCTTTTTTAAAGATGAATGGATCTGGTCATTTGTAAAAGGACCTCTTGAACCAGTTGTAGGACTTCTCTATGGTATACTTGTAGGTGTTTCATTTTGGTATGTGCCAAATTCTGAAAGCTCAAAGGTAAGTATTTGTGTATTTAACTATACATTTTCTTTTTTATAGTGCTTACATAGTCTGTGCTTTACTGTATTTTATTTGAAACCAATACAGTAGAATCTTATTTATTATCTGACATAAATGAGTGGACAGAACTTCATATGAGCGAATATGTCAGTTAACCCTTTGCGGCATGGTGGGTCAATATATGTCCCACTAATTAATATTATTTCTCATTAGCAATTCCGTAGAAATTTTCTAATTTTTAAAAAATACATTTTAGTTATTATTTTTCTCCTAAGATGTTATACATCCAGGGCTTAAGTTTAAAAAAAAATATTCAAAAGATCACAGAGTGATATCCTGTACTGCATTTTTTATTAAAAATTGATACATTTATGATGTATGATTCTTTTAATATCAAAGTATTTTTTTCAAAAATCTAATTAAATATTTTTAACATTAATTTGCAGTTGAATAAGGGGTTAAAATTTGTCCCACACCCACTGGAATTCCATCATAGAGCAGCACTCACAATTATTTTTTTTCTTTTTTGATCTACTTTTTTCTGATTGCGCGCTGGACATCCGTTGTATCTCTGAGTGCTAAATGTCTAAAAAATTAACACTCAGGAAGCTTGGTCTTTTGCTGAATGCCATGATTGCGACTCAAATGCTCAGATTCAGTTTGTTCAGATGAAATTGAATCCAGGGAATAATGAGGTTGAAGTTATTGCTGAAGAAAAAGGGAAGTATTAAATTGTTTCGCTTTTAAACACAGACCATCTACACGTGGACTTAAATATGGATTGGAAGTATCTACCCCAAAGTAATGTTCAGTCGGATTATATAACTTTCTTAGCGCTATTCATTTATGCATAAATGAGGATAAAAATCCGTTCCATCCTGTCTGCTGGAAAAGGCAACTGAATAAGAAATTAAAAAGAACGAGATGGAAAGACAAAAAAAACTACTGTGCCCACACATTATTTCATACAATAAGAATAGGGATATGGACTGATGATCAACTGAAAGGACTATATGAAATGACGCAAAAGAGAATGGTGGGCACATGATTTTTTTTTTACGTTTAGATGCGAGTATAGTAAAACAATTCAGTTGTTCGCGAACCTGATCATGAGTAAAACATGAAAGTTTCTTCTGTCATTACAGAAGGTCACTGGCACTTGCAGGAAAAAGACAAAAAGAAATTGAAATCCCCATCAAATAAAACTAAAAACCGTTCGTACACCAGAAAATACTAAAAAAGTAGTAAACGCCAAGAGACGAGCAGGAGAAGATGTGCATATTGCCCTATCAAAGAACGACACATTTTGATGTGTTAAACATGTGAAGTGCCTTATGCTACAAAGAATGAAACACATTTTTTTTTCATGAAAGCTTTTTTCAATTTAATACATATATAAATGTTTTGAATCATGCAATTTTAATATTTATTAGATTCATAGTACGATTCAATTTCCACTTAAAAAATCAAGAAATACTTTCTTTTGTTCCTAAAATTTAAAAATATAATATATCATGCAAAATGCATTGCAAAATTTACAAGTCATGCATATATGCATATACAAAACAATGATAGTGTGTTATTATGCATATTTAGATGCAGCTTTATTTTCTTTATTCATTCCACATATAATTTTTTTCCTGCTATACACCAAGGCTATAAGACTGTGCTTGCATGGTGGGACAATGGGTATCCCCCTTCAACCGTAAAAATAAAGCGCAGAATTTTTTTCAAGCCTTAAAGGCCTTAATAAGTCCATTATATTTAAGCATTTTTTAAAGATTAAATATATTAAATAGCGTGTCGAAAGGGTTAAGAGGGAGGCATTAAGAAAAGGAAATCTATTAAATGTCAAACTATGTTACGATTTTACACATTACAAGAGTAATATTCATGTTTTACAACAAAACCAGAAAAACTGATTTTCAATCACACTATTGTCTGAATTTAAATATGCTACATATAGTATATCAAAAGTTCAGTCCTGTGGTAACTGAAATTTTTTATGATAATCTGCTTTCTTGATGAGAGCTGTTTCTTTGCTGCAAGTCTTGCTATCTTTACAGCATCATATGTTGATTCTTATAGCTTTTTCTTGTTGCTTAATATATTTAATTGCATTTTCTGCAGACTTAACTGCAGACCATAGATATATGAAATTCTTTGAGCCTCAACATTTAGCGCTTATCTTGATCTTCAGTTTCATTTTCATCACAATTGACAACGACAATTTCTTCATAAGTTATTTTATGTTGATTGTCATTCTTCATTCAACTTTAGATTTCTTCCAAAGATGCATCATCTCATCCAAGGATACATTGCACTAGGGGTAGAATGCTTTCTTCATTTTCATCTGTGATTTCCATTTTCATACTTTCATAATTGTCTAGCATCTTCTACCATGATTTAGCAGTTTTTGTAGTCTCTATGTCAACTCAGACCCCAGCGATTCAATAAGCAACATCTTTTACATTGATGCATTTCAGTTTGTCAATCATGTCTTGTCCTTCTTCAGTATCTTGTATCAGTGTGGACAACAGCTACCTGAGGTAGTTCCTTTTTATCAATTCCAAAATATCCTGACGGTTCGGGCAGAAGCTTTGCCGTAACATCACCATCTTAAAGATCTTCTGCATTAAAGTGCATTGGGGCATTATTTAGCAACAAAATAGCTTGGCAAATTATTTTCATTTAAGAACTTTTCTATTGAAGGAAAGAATGAGTTCCTTAAAGGACTAGGAACATTTCATTGGTCATCTAAGCACTTTTCTAATTAGGGCATTTTTCAAGAAGAGCATTTTTTAAAACTGTTTTAAAGGAGCTAAGTTCTTGGGACTTTCCAACCATTGCAAGGTCCCATTTTGAGGTTTGCAGTAGCATGACTACATGCTAAAATTGTGAGTCTTTCTTTACTATGTTTATAACCAGGGGCTGCTGCTTAAATTCTGGCTGCAAAACTCTTACTTGGTAACATTTTGTAATCAAGGCCTGACTCATCACAGTTAATTATCAGATCATCTATTAGGCTTTCAGTTTCAATTAATTCATGAAATGTTTTCATGAATGCTTTCATTTCTACAAAATGCTTTAATTTCTTTCTTCAGTAATAATTTTTCATCACAGACACTTAACTGACGGATACTGTATGAACTGACAATTTGAAGTCTGGGTTCCTTCTCTGAAATCATTATGGAAATGCAATGCCTTTTGCTGTGAAATAGACCCTGAATAGGCACACATTTACACTTGTATTATGTAAATGAAACATATAAAGCTTCATTCACTTTTTTGTAGTCACATTATTTCATAGTTTTTCTTTTTTTTAATCACAATCGTAACTCTTGATGCACACCATTTTTCTGTTTTTATTCATTTCCAGTTTCCTCCTGTTATCCATTTAATACCAAAATCATTAGCTGCCTTCTACATTGTGTTTCCCTTGATTATCTGAAATTTTTCATTGATACAACTTTCTTTATTTTTATCACCATTCTTTCATCACCACCATTCAGGAAACCATCACCATTGACCAATGTGACATGTGCCTGCTAAAGCTTATACCTTTGAATAGCCCTCTTTGCTCTCCCGACTTTTTCACTGTACTTTCTTAGCATGACTCCTGACTTTTTCACTGTACTTTCTTACACTGGCTTGTCTCATCACTCTAATATATGACAGAGAACCTTGTGACATCACTACTCATAATGTGAGAATACTAAAAACATAATTATTACTGGAATTAAAAAAATAAATTTAGTTGGATCAACTAGGATACGAAATACATTTAAAGGTACATACAGTACAAAGTCCAAGATCCAGACTCGTCGAGACTTCAGCAATTCCATATTTGGAATTTTTCTTTATATTATGTTATTAATTTAAATCTAGAAAGATCAGATGTATAAATTATAAAATTAAAAATGTGAAATGGTGTTTATGCAATGATGAAGCATTTATGACTGAGAAGGAATCAAAGTTTACAAAAAAAAAATTGAAATTGATTTGTTTGCGTTATTAGACCTTTTTTCAATATAAATTATTTGAGTTGATTTGTTTTTTAAGCTAATACTTTCTCTTCAATTCCAATAATTTCTTATTCAGTTAAAAAATCCCATCATTCAAGTCCTGTAATTGCTGTGCCTAGAATTGCTGTTAAATAATCAATCAAATTTTTTTATTCTGAGCAGGCTCTCTGTCACTTTCTGCATTATCAGTATTTTCTGGATTATTTGGCTATTACATATTTTTGAGGAAAGGGACATCGTCATTGCAGTAAAACACTTCTGCTATATTATCTTCATTTATCCCATTTCTCCACAAATTCCATTAATTAGAAAATTTCGCTTTTTGTTTTGGATATATGAAAACCTACAAAATCAAGGTTATCATCATAAAACTTAGTTAGTGTCTGCTGTACACTATTGATGATGTATGACATTAGCAACTAAAAATATGTTCCACTAAATTTTGCTTCTATTGAATGCTAACACAGTTAAGCCTGAATTATTTTAGTTTAGTTATTTATTATACTTATGCTTGTTTTCTGCATATGCTTAAATACCCCCTGAGTTCCAAATAAATAAATTTCCTCATATACCTTACGGTCATGTGTTTATGCCTGTATGATACATTTAAGTCATGGGCCTATCCAAGACCAGCAGTAGACATTTTATGGGCAGGTGCTGTCACTGTGAGTCCTAAATTCTGCTTCCAAGTACTTTCCTAAATTCTATAAATTTTGCCACCTCTAAATTTTGTATCCCAGTGCCTTCCCTATATTCTAAATATTTTGCTGTCCCTTAATTTTTTTGCTTGGTGTTTCTCTAATTTCTAAAAGTTTTGCTTTCCTTAAATTCTGTTGCACAGTATGGCTGCACCAGCTGTGGCACTGGCTATGGTCTTCTCTGAATAGAAATCAGTTATTCTCAATTAAAATAACATTAAATATGAATCTTTTGGCCTATGAATATCATTTACAAAATCTTTTTTTTTTTTTT